CAAAGTGGCAGATTGTTCTCTTCGGTCTTCTGTACAATCTGCCGCAGGGTATGTATGTGGTCTATGGTACTGAAGCCTTTTCGGAAACCGGCTTGTTCGGGAGGCTGGAAGTTGTCGAGTCGAGTCTAAATTGAGGTTGGAAGGTTATATATAAGAATTGTTATGTTTTTCAAGTTTGAGGTTTGTAAATCTGCATTTAGGTAGCTTTTTTATAGAATTAAGGTTACAAACGAGCACACAGTCCACCTGATGGTAAGTGGAGGATGTGGCCTATTGACATCTAAATTTATCCACGATAAGAATCAAAATGCAGATGCGTTTTCACCCCTGAAGACCAAGATGGAATGCCTCGTTTCCAGTAAAAAATGGTCTCCGGATCTCTACACTCACCATACGAAAGACACAGCACAGAATGCCAGAGTCAAATAGCAGCTTAATACTGCTATTTTGCGCTGGCATTCTGTGCTAGGTGTAAATAATAAAAATCTGTACTACCTATTTGGAAAAATTCCTCCTTATGGGTGCTAAAATAGGCTAAGAAAGTTTGTATGGGAAAATTTCAATTATGGTCATTGTTAAATTGTGAAAGTATGTTATTTTTAGGAGGTGAGTATCAGCTAAGAAAAGATTTTGCGAAAATCCACTCCTATATAAGTTATTTGGAAAAAACCCTCTTTATGTGTGGTGAAATAGGGGATGAATGTTTGTATGGGAAAGTTTTAATCATGGCCATAAATTGAGAAGGTAGGGTAGTCGGACCAATAGATGAACGCCCCCTAGTAGATGAACGAAACGAACATTTTATTAAATTTTAATTAAGAATTCAGTGATGCCTTAACTGTAGTGGCATTTTTTTCTTGAAGCGTCAACACTATACCTTTCATTTATAACCAATAAACCGTCACTCAAGAGTCAATCGCACTCTAGATGCTCATTCAGTGCATAACTGTTTCGGAAATTTGCATTTTGTATGGAGAACGAGCTAAGGCGAGTTTACCAGTTTCTTAAGCTTATGAGTGGATTGCCGATTTGTTGATATTGTTAGACCCCAATTATTTATTTTTTTACAATTACGACTATTTTCTGAAGTAGAAAGTCAAGGAAAATAGGTTATTTTTAAAGGTTTTTGAGAAAATTAGTGTTCAATTACTGGTCAAAAAAAAAGAGACAAAAATCTTATTTGTGAACTAGTGTTCAGAATTAACACTGGCCTGTAAATTTTGTTTTGATATAGTAGATTGTATCTATGATTTTTGATTGATGTTTTATGTTTTGCTTAATTGTGTTGAATACATAATAAACCAAAACATGAACGGAGGTTAATTACAGATAAATCGTTGTTTTGACATGTTATTACTTCAGCTGTTCATAATTATTCCAAACGTTGCATTTGTGAACTAAGAATTTTATTGGTTCATAATTAAGACTTTGAAACCTAATTATAAACCAATAACAATTTTAACAATGTTTCAATACAGTTGTTCTGTAATTTTATTAGGGTTCTTCATGATTAAAAGTAAACCAATTTCGTTGGCCTAACAAACTGTTGTTTTTATATAAATAGTTCAAATAGATAGATACCTACTTACTTATTTTTTATATATTTATAAAAGCTTTTTAAAACACTATTGGATTCAGTAGTAAAATAAAAACCTGAAATTTAAATGATTTACGTCTAAATTAATAAAATAATAACGACATTAACTAATTCAACGTATTCAAATCACAGTTTGATAAATGTGCTCCCAAAATGCTAGTCTTATTAAACTTATAAAACAAAATCAAATATCATTAAGCAACACCCGACTGAGGACTTATACAAAATATGTGGCGTACTTACCATACGAAAGTTATATATCTTCCATTCTATTCGTAAATATCACAAAAGTACTGCTTCTCAAATACAAAGGACGGTCCGCTATCCCTTGCCTGCCTACAAGAGCAACTTCGCTAGAAGACACTTTAACTATTCTGCTACATTACTGTACAACAAATTAAATACAATTTTTAAAACCGCCCATCTAAGTAATCATAATATTAAGTCAATTTTACTAAAGTGGTTAAGTAATTTTGACTATGACGCTACTGAGAATCTTATCGTTTCCACTAAATAATTCTTATACAATATTACGACGTTTACACACACACAACACACACACACACACACACACACACACACACACACACACACACACACACACACACACACACACACACACACACACACACACACACACACACACAGACACACACACTTTTTATTTACCTTATTATTATTGTTTTTTTTTCTCTCTCTTTATACTTTGTTAAGCTATATGTTATTTTTGATGTCATTCTAATTAATTTTTTATACCGTTTGCTGTAATAGTTTGTCACATTACAACTATATGTCACTGAAACGGGGAAGATGCTGTAGCCTGTAACACAGTTTTCAACTACCACGGGCTACAGAGCTTCAATATGATTTGTTTGTAAAAGTTATGTGAGAAACAATAAATTATTATTATTATTATTATATTATTATTAACTCTAGTAAAATATATCACATACCCAAGGGAAAATTACACAATAAAGTAAAAAGTACCAGTAGTTGCAAAAACGGACTAAAAACTTTTTTAACCGATGACGAGGAACTAAAATTAGAACAATGGATCTTAGATAAACCTAGTTTAGGGTGTCCATTGCACCCAAATGATGTCGAATGTATGGTACAGTCATTTTCGACCACTACTACACGTGAAAAAACAGTTCAAGAGATTTTCCTGGTGAACAAAGCATGAAATTGTTCCTTAAAAGACATCCGCAAATTACTAAACGGACAGCAGAAGTAATTTCAAGAGCACGAGCTGGAGTGACTGAAAAGTCTCTCAAAAATTGGTTTGATGAAGTCCATGAGCAATTTGAGTCCGAAAATCAACTAGAAATCTTAAATGATGCTACAAGAGTGGTAATCTTTATTAAATAGGTGTGCAACTTTGCCAAAAAGGAAAAAACATGTATTTTCATACGGAACTCCACTTGATTTCTATTAATTTTATTTTTAGCAACTACACAAGAAACTTCATAACTGTCATAATAATGTCTGAGGATTATACCTCAGGATACTTATTTATATGGGTAAGTAAGAGAAATCATGTTTAATTACTATAATGTTTTTTATATAGAATTTTGCATTTTCATTTTTTTAGTTCATAAATAAGTCTGATTTTGTTCAGAATTAGTTCCAAACCGTTCACAATTGGGGCCAAAGACACTTTTTGGATATTTTCGCAATTTTAACATTATTTGAAATCATTTAGAGTAAAAACAGTTTAACTAGTTTATATACGACATATCTAACTAATTATACAACTAAAGACATTGAATATTCATTGTACAAGAGAAATAATAAAAAATAAAGTAAATGGAATTCCGCTTAACCGTTCATGTATTGGTCCAACTACCCTATGTTCTATTTAGGGGAGTATCAGCTACTCAGCTAGAAATGTTGGATGAAAGTCTTAATGAAGTTTGGCCGCAGTGTTATTTTTTGTAAAGTTACCTATATACTTATATATATAAACTAGAAATATTGTTTACAGGAAAAATTTTAACAAATAGAACCGTCAACTCTTTTTTCCCCCCAATAAGTTTTCTTGAATGTAAAAAAAAATTATTAGGTATATTGCGACCTCCATAGGTACAAAGTCGCGGATTTTACTAGCGTGTGCGAGGACTTTGTTTCGATAGGTCTCTTCCAGCGGGAAAATTTCATAATATCATAGGAAATCAGAAATTATACTTGGTAAAGTCACGGACAACTGCTAGTATTCAATAAAATTTAAAACACTTGAAAAACAGAAATACTGCTTTATTATATCAAAATAATAATCACAAACAAAAATAAAAAATATGTATCAAAGAAACATAATAATCAATAACATTGCAACCTGACTTACTTATAAGTCGCTAGTCACTAAAATTAAAAGAAAAAACATTATCATTGCTTTAATATTAAAAAGAATAATCTCAAACAAAATTCAAAAATGTCCTTTAAAGAAACATAATCAACACAATTAAAAAATTACAAAACAAAAACACTGCTTCAATAAATCAAAACAATAACCACAAACAAAATTGTAAATATTCATAAAATCATAATAACATCGCAACCTTGTAGCAACCTGTCTTATAGGTACTTCGTGTTACAACTCACTTCTTAAATAACATTTCAGCATTCAATTTATGAACTATGATAAAGTATTATGGTAACCCTACTTCTAACGGCTTATTTATGCACAGGCGGAGCTTACTACTGAGCGGGCGCTCGAATGCATTAATTGACTTATTTTCATACTAACGCTTGTTAAAAGTGCGCTCCATCGCCCGCTCTGGGGTAAGCTGAGCCTGTAAATAAATGACCCATAAGGTATGATCTAGACCAGGCGCGCCGCATCGGATTGCACAGAACAATTGCAAAATGTGATTGAAACATATCAACATGAATTAGAGTTCGTATTTGCATGCAACTTATGCATACACACGCCATGATTGCAGATAAATCAAGATGCATAAGTTGCATTCCAATACAATTTGTTGCATGCTCCTGAGAAAAGATCTTATGAGTGGAATGGTTTCGCTATGGGTTTCCGCTTTGTTCTTCGTTTTGTTTCTTCCAATCTGTATAGGAAGAATGATTAAAGGTCGTTTACTTCTTTTTATAAATACTATTGATGTAACTGTTAACTTGCATCCACGTTCTCTTTTGAAAAACAGGTTCTTTTTTTAAAACTGCCATACATTTTGCTTTGCCTGGGTTTATTTTGTTCTGTATATAGGAATGTAGGTGTTTATTAACTGCTTTTATTTCTTCGTCTGTCCATTTTCTATGCGTGACTTTTCGTCTATGTGTTTTTTCATCTTCACTTTCAATTTCACTTGAACTGGACACTTTTACAGGATGTTTCTTTATTCTTTTTTTTTCAGAGTTAGTTTTTATCTCGTCGTCACTTTGATCTGCATTATACTTCTTTTTTTTTAAGTTTTCCTTTTTTCTCACATTTAGTTATTGTAGAAACTTTGGCAGTTCGTGTTTTTTCAGATCTTTTAAGTTTCTCTAAATCACTATCTCTGTTAGCTTCAATATTTTGGTCACTATCCGAGAATAAGCTGGTTTGAGTAGATACTTGCACTTGATTTCGTTTAACAAACTTTGTTGATTTTTTGGATTCAAATTGGTTCCCTTGTTTAACATTTTTATTATTAATCACTTTGATCTTTTTATTTTCATGCGCTTCTTCTACATTTATAGTTTTAAGTTTTATATATTTACATTCAGTCTCTTTATTATCCTTTTTGATGTTTTCAATTAGTTTTACATGTTCTTTGTTTTTCATCTGATGGTTTAATTTTTGATTTTCAGGAAACGCGCTTCTTTTACCGGAGTCTATATTAATATTTTCAGATAATACTTCTAGATAATTGGTGGCATTGTTAGAGTCTACTGTAGCATTACTTATAACTTTGAAGTCTTTGCCGTCCCTCTTGAGATTTTCGGTTGCATCTGATGATAGTTCGTTTTTACAGCTGTGAGAACTGTCATTGTTTTGGTCTTCTATGAAATTCTCAAACTGAGAAGTAATCATTTCTAACTTGTTTAGATTTATTTGTGATGTATTTGTGTTTTCAAACTCCGAGATCGGATTTTCATTTTCTTGTTTTCCTATGATATTTTCCGACTGTGAAGTAACGGTCTCTATCTTATTATGTGATCTAATTGTATTTTCATACTCTATCAACTGCGTCCCAACAACCGCTTTTTGTAAGACCTGCATAGGCAATCTGTAATTTTTTGCGTGAACTGTTAAATCATGTCCTAAAAACCCTGCCAGATGCTCTGTGTACTGATCCGTTTTGTTTTGAATGTATCTGTGACATGGTTGCTATGTGATGTCTTATGCCAGTAGAAGTCAGCATTTCAGGTCTTTTCAAATTGCAATACTTTTTGATCTTTTCCAGACATTTGCCACCATCAAAAGGTTCTTCCGTGTTAGGTCTCGCAAATAAATATCGATTAGAGCTCAGAATGTTCAGATCTTCACGACAAGCTATTATCAAATCGATGTTTTCTCGCATCGTTTTTGTAAGCAAAATTGGCACGGAACGTGTTCTTTTTCCAGGAATTTGAAATACGTCTAGTTCACCGATAGATTTTCTTTGTTGAGGTGTTAGGGTTTCTAAAATTTTTTTCTGGTATTTCTTCAACTTTTCTATTGACGTATAATGACAGTTCGGCTTCAGCCACGTCACCTGCTCTTTTTCTATCCAGCATTATTATGTGAGCTATTGTTACGGTGCAGAGAGGTTCGTAATTTAATGCATCCCTATTTTTCTTCAATCTTTGTGCATATTTAGCCTCCAATTTATGTATTTTTTGATGACTGTTGCAATGTCTTCTTCTAATGGAATTATATTTTCTTTAGTCATATTTTTCCGCTTTCTAGTTTTCTCTGCATTTGAAGAAATTTCCCATTCCCAGTTAATTTCAACAAGACGCTTGAAGTCATCCAACTTTTTTTATACAAATCTTTGTAAGCTGTTGATTCCGTTGACATAATAGACTGCGTATAGAGTATATCAATACATCCCAAAATGGATGGCCGCATTCGAGCTGGAATACTTGTAACTTTGACGAAGCCCGTGTCTTCATCGAACTCACACATGTTTTTGATGCCATCGATAAAAATATCATATTTTTCAGGGTCTAAAACATCCGTTAGTGTTTCTATTCTGTGGTCTTTTTTACGGAGTACAATTAATAAAGTAGCCAAGTCTCTCATTTTAGAACATATCGCTCTTCGGCTTTACCTTTCTTTTTTCTTTTTAAGTAGTCTTGAGCCATATGCAAGAATCAATGGATCATTTTTCACAACGAGAGAAAATTCATCTGAACGAAGATGAGGCAAAATTTTATCTCTGAGTTCTATACTTGCCGTCTCAGATTTAGGTATAATAGTGATACTGTTATTGTACAAAACTCTTTTTCTGCAACCCAGAGTAAGATGATCATTAGCACCGGCACCGAACTTCTTGAAATGTCTGAAAAAGGTTGACCTTTTGAATGTGCCTAAACACGTCTTGCATGTCGCAGAAGCTGATGGACTTGATTCTTGGGTGTTTCTTTTAGCTGGTATTATAGTTTTCTCTCCATCTCTATCAAAACAAACTTTTGAATTGTGTATAAAATTTCCCTTGTTTCTTAATTTGTCCGTTATTTCTTGCCTCTTTTGCTTTCTTACTTTTAGATCTACGTCGTTAATAGATTTGTATTTAATTACTTCTATTTCGTTAGGATGTTTTCTTAAAAGGTGTCTTGAAAAGTTAGTAACAAGTTCTTGACAATAAAAACAAGCATTTCTTCTATCCCATCTACGCTTACCCATTTTCTTGTAATCATGTCTTTGTTCATAACTGTCTTTCTGTATTTCCGGTGACGCTCCTTCAGGACTTTCTATCTATATTTCCGCTGACACAACTTCATGACCTTCTCTCTGCAATTCCGGTGCAACTACTTCATCTTTTTACATTGTATCTTGTTAGAGAGTTTTTTACGTCGACTTACCGTGTTTCTGCTCTTGTTGTTCTGAATGTTTCCACACTTACGTTTATTACGGTGCATTTGTTTTTTAACTAACTGGTCATCATAGTACTCATCCTCTGTGCTCTGAAATGGTTATAAGGATAAATATATTGTTCTATTGGTGGTGTTAAAATAGATCGATAAATGAGTTATTTAAAAATTTAAAAATATTTAAGACGTTCTACAGTAGGTATTTTGAAAAATCATTGAAATTACTGTTATCACATAGGCTCTTAAAAATATTTAAGACGTTCTACAGTAGGTATTTCGAAAAATCATTGAAATTACTGTTATCACATAGGCTCCAACACAACAAATTAAATGCATTGTGGTAAGCTGTAGACAAATACCCACTGAATTTTATGAAACTATCATTTTAAGCATGTAGATTTCAGTAATATTCTTACAATGTCATCGTCACTCATGTAAACAGAGTTAGGATCGAAATCGGATTCATCACTCGGTGAAAAGTCTTTTTCTTCGAAGTTGGTTTCCGTTTGGTTAATCTAAAACGATTAAACAAATGAGCGATAAAGATGAATAAGAAAATCAATAAAGCTGACATTAACTAATAAGTGCCCATGACGTAGGTAAAATAAATTATAATAAAAAGTGGCTAAAAATTTACCTGGTAATAATCTTCTGATTCAATCTCTCGTAATATACCAGGAACATCTGAACCACTTATAGGTATATTATCTGTTAGCCCAGATATATTTAAAAATGATGATAATCCACTGACATCTAAACATGCATCTGGCTTTGAGGGAACTACGTTCCATTGTACATCACCCAATAATTTTACCTTCTCTACATCCACCTGTTTACTCATTTGATATTTGTTGCAAGACTGAAAAGAAAACGAATTAAAAAAATCTGAGTATCTAGGTACCTTTTTCAGGAATTTCTAAAATTTCACCTTTCCTGGGGTGAAACATAGGGGTTTTAATTTCTTAAAGGGTGTTTTATATTAAGATCGCCGTCTCTTGAGACAACAAATAAAATATTTTATATTAAAACTCATATTACGAAATCATAAAATGTTTTCTTTTGGATTTTCAAAAATCAGCGCTTTATGCGAGCAAAGCCGCGAGCAACAGCTAGTAGCGTTATATGGTGTTAATTACTGTTTCAAATCGAGGCCAACGTGTCAAAAGTTTTTGGTATTTAGGGTCATAGTGACATTAGGCTACTAGTGAGGGAAGTTAAAAATGTAAGTATATTAAACGGATGGAAATGTAATAATAGATTTCTTTTTATTAAAAGCATTTTATTAAAAACATTATACAAATTTTCAGGTCATTATCATTAGAAATGGTGGACTTCTATAAATATACTTTTAGCCTCCATTTCACACGTTTAAGGGATGAATTTCGAAAAAAAATTATGTATGTAACTTCAAATCAGCGGTTTGGGCTGTGCGATGATGAATCAGCAAGGATAAACTCATATTTAGAAGATAATATCACAAACTATATTTATGGCTTCGCACGAAACGAAATCGGTTTGGGTTACCCTATATACTACCCATTCGCTTATTATATTAGCCCCAAAATGAAAAATATATATAGAAAGATAAAACAAAATAGTTAAAAATTCCTTACGTCCTCTTTAATTTTTTTCTGGGTCACATTTTCTCTTGTACCGGTACTAGTTAATTTTGATAACTCTTGACAATTATCCTCTGATTCATATTCGGAGTCACAAAACAATTCATCTGATCGTGGTACATCTTTATTACGAATTTTAATGATAGAAATTGTGGATTTGACAGAAGAATTTTCTGATGCTTGATCAGACACATAGTCCAAAGGGGTAAGGAACCCTTCAGCATTGGCTGCTTTATCTGTAATTATTAATTTATTTTCAATAAAAATGTTTTCCCTTTAGAGTGTTTAAACTTTTGCGTTTTTTGCGGCATAATCAATTAATTATAGTTTTTTTTTTAAGGGGAAAAAAAACCAACACCCCCAGGGCCCCCCCAAAAATTATAGTGTAGTGTGGCTCACGGTACCCACTTATATTATACATATTATAAACTAAAGACAGTAATAAACAGGGCTTAGAACATAACGGTTGTCTCATTTAATAACGTCATTACATGGCGACCCTGCCAGTCAAGCTACACCATAAATATATAAGAAAACTTTAATTATAAATTATGATACACTGGAGTGAGGAAATTAATTGAAAAGTTCATGTAGAGTTATATCATAATTTGTAAAAAAAAATATTTATAAAATAAAGTAAAAACATTAGAACTATAAAATCGGAAGGTGCAGCTAAGAAAGACTCGAGATGAGAAAAGTGGGTGAGATAAATTACGTTATATAATTACTCTGGATACGAAGAATATTGGTTAAGAAGATTTAACTTTATAAATATAAATAAAAAACAAAATAATTGTTATTATACGTAGTTGATTTAAAATTAATAAATACTAACATTTTCGAAATTCTTGTATTGTTAATACTTCGCACTTTGCACTAACCGGAGTTTTCTATACTTAATACAATTTCCAAAAAGGCACAAAATCGTAAAGATATAAATTTATAATAAATTATATTATTTAATATTAAATTGTATTATCATACATTTGTATAACTCGTACGAATTAACTTGAGACCTGGGCCGATGACGTAATTGTCAATGTACGGTGTGCAAAATAATGCGTCGTAATATTTTTTTATTTGAAATTTTTGAGATTTGCATGACATTATTAATAAAAACAAAATAAAATGTTCTGGCAAGGGGTGAAGTAATAAGTGATATACTGTTGCCATTTTTATATATTTTAAATATTTATTTTTTATAATATAAATAATAATATTGTTAGTTAACGCGTCAAGGAAGGACAAAGAAATAAACATACACACTTTCTCAATTTAATTTATTTATTATACACTTTATTGCACTATAAAAAGTGTTACAGATTCGTACACAATAAAAATACAAAGCATAACAGGCGACCTTATTGCTAAAAAGCAATCTCTCCCAGGCAACCTTAGGGTGAAAGTGAATCAATCTTGGATAAGCGGAACAGCACAAACTATGTAAAATCAAGGAATAGAAGTAAGGAATATTAGTAAGGATTTATTATAATATTTATTATTCATTGTCACTGTATACGATCGGTTCTATTCCGTCCATTAGATCGTCCTCACTTTCACTTTCTGAGCTGGTTTCTTTCCCTCCAAGGGATTTCTCCAAGTCTATCACTCTCCCAGTATTCATTTTCTAATCTTTCGATATGGTTAATTTCTTTCTTCCAATCGGAAACCGTTATAGACTGTATTGCGTCTCTTGTCAAACCCTCTATTTCCCTTTCAAACTGGTTAACATTTTTATCTGCTAGCCTTTGTTTTATTAAGTTCCATATATATTCGATAGGGTTCAAATCACAATGGTAGGGTGGCAGCCGTAATACCTCGTGTCCATGCTCCCTCATGAGTTCGTCCACTATATATTTTTCGGTGGTTTATTGAGCAGTATTATATGGTACAGTTCCGGTTTCGTCATTTTTTCATCAAAAGGAATGTTGTTTTTCCGAAGCCAACTCTGCATCTCACCTTTCAGGGACGAGCTCACGGGTGGTTTATCAGACTGCGTTGAGTGGTAGGGAGCATTGTCTATAACGAAGAGACTCTTTTGAGGTAAGTTTGGGATTAGTTTTTCTGTCAACCACTTTTTAAAGTTTTTACTATCCATTTCGTGATAGTAGTCCCCGGCATTACTTTTGCATTTGTAAAGCAATTCGGCACCAGAGATAAAGCCGTTTTCACCGCCAGCGTGCACCAATATCCACCGCTGTCCTGGATTATCATTTTTTCTAATGCTTGCGTCATTGTTATTTTGCCAGCATTTGCGCACGGTATAGTGGGAGTGAATCCATGTTTCGTCTAAATAAGTTACGGGTTTTTTGTCCACCCCAAGTTCATTGTTTTCTTTCTTCCTTCGTAAATAACGGGCTCTCCAGGCAGCAATGTCTGGCTTTTGTATTAAGACTTGTCTTGCGTTCTTACATTTTTTAATTTTTACCCCAAGTAGTCAACGAGTATTCGTTGTAACGTGGTTTTTTCACCTGTAAAATAAAGATTTTATTTTTAATTTTTAGTTATCGCGTGGTATTTTTTTAAAAAATAATTTAAAATTAAATATCTCAGAAATTGTTCACTTTTGCATATGGGTACCATACATAAAATTGTGGCAAATTACCAGTTCTAGCACCCCTAACAAGATTATGCTTGAATTAAATGTCACCTTGTATACGATATGACCAAAAGTATGATATATAATACATATAAAAAATGTCAATAAATATGGGTACGTACCTGGAAAATTTAGATCTGCTTTTGCAGCCGTTAAAATCTTTTTCAATGTTGGAATTTCTTTCCGTACTGTATAGAAACTGTTGACAAGGTTTCTTAGAGCACACTGATCAAAATTGTCGAGTTCAATTTTTTTTGAGCTCTGTTTCCTTTTTTTTCCTGGAGTTGATAGTTTAAGTTCTGGTCTTGCTTGAGAAGTACATGGTTCCGATACTACTGTGACATCATCATTTTGGTCTTGAGAAATTGACTGAACTTTTTTCGCCTCGTTTTTCATTCTTAGTAGTGTTGCCTTTGATATGCCTGTTGCTGCACAAGCCCTCTTTAAAGCTTGGTCCACAGGAATAAGAAACTTTTTATTTGATTTTTCATCTTCGAAAAATTTTAAAAGTTTTAGAGCAAGTGTCCGTGCTTGGCTATGTGTTGTCTTTACTCCCATCTTTTTTTAAAAATAAAAAAGGCGGAGTAACTCCTAAGCGTCACAAGAAAACGGCACAACACAACGTCCAAACTTAACAATAAAACAACGCAATTAACAACAAAAAGATAAAATAACGTTCAAGTATAACAAAAACAAACAAAAGTCCAAACCAAACAACATGCAAAATTTGAAAAATTCTTTTTGTGTATTATAGCCAGATTCATGAGGAATAGTTTATATTATAGCTATTAGCATCAGGCCACGCATCACTGCTAGCCTTAAATGTTTCTTTAGCAATACCTTGTTTCCAGTAAAAAAGGGTCTCCGGATCTCTACACTTACCATACGAAACACAGCAGTGTCACGCTGGTATTCTGCGAGAACGTGGTTCTTCCCCGGTTGAGCCGACCCATTCGTGCTACAACCATAATATAACTGCAACATAATGATTCCTTATATTTACGCAAACAATACACATTTAAATGATACTAGTTTTTACGGGTTTTATCGCGTATATTAACTTTTTTATATACCCGACAATATATAATCAAATTCTAAACAATATTGACGTGATCTTTTGCATATAAGGCAACGGAATCTTACACTAATATGATACCGAAGGTTTACTATCACATATACATTACTACACTATAACTACTGTTTTCTCCTAGCTTGCCTTCAAAATATTGTTTTATACTTTTCATTTACTTTATCTCCAATTAAAATCCAGTATTTCAATCTATAAAAAAGGCTTGATAAAATAAACTATTATTTTGTTATACAAAACAGTAAAGTAGTTCGATACTTTTTTTGAGATAATTTGATTATTGAATTTAGGTAATGGCTCTAATGATTTATGGAATATTGAAGCTAAGACAAATATTAAACAACTTTATATAACACGAAAGTATCAAAACAGACAGACAGAAGATATAATATTAAATAAGATGTAGAAATGAAACTAGTGCTGTTGGCTTGTTCAGAAAAAGCAATGCGAAAAGAATTTGTTTATTTAGCCAAATTTTAAATTGTTGACAAAGAAATAGAATGGTGATTGGTTATTCAATTACCTTTTTCTTTTATTTTACTTTTCAATTATTTTACATCAAAACAACCTTGCATATTATTTTATTAGATATAATTAATTTATGCATATAAAACCAACATAAACGACCGTAAGTATACCTGAGTATATGATTTTAATCCTAATTCGATACTTCCATGCACTGCCAAGACAAAGAGTCTTGACAGGCAAACGGACGGATGAACAGAGACGGAAAAAAACTTCAATACAAAAGTTCCGTTTTTGCTTTTTGAGGTACGGAACCCAAAAACGATAAAAATCGGTTCATCTATTCATGAGCTACGATGCCATTACATACAATGACGCAATCAAATCATATAGGACATGTCACAAACTAAAAATATAGGGTAATTTTTATGACACCAGATAATGCAGGACCAAAACTGAAATCGCGAAAATAAAATCAGCTGTTCCATACGTTTAAATTAAATATTTTTGCACTTTTGTATAGAACAGCTGTTTTTTTTTTCACGATTTCATCCATACTCCTATAATAAAAGTTGTTTATTTTCATGAGTAAAATAATCCCTACAATTATCTGAGTTGGTAAAAAATTAACTCTGTGTAACACAGTATAGCTACTTATAATAATAATGTCCTCCAGACCGATTTCGGTCACGGCGGCCAGCCTCAACGAATACTATAGTCATCGGCGCAGGACAAGATTATAGTGCCCAAGTGTATGCGTAAGCACAGGTACACTCTCTATTCCCTCACTCTCATTATCAGATGGGACGGTAAACCCACACGACCGGTGAGAGATCAGACGCAGGACCAACGACTTTACGTGCCTTTCAAGGCACGGGGGTGAGACACCGCCAACTTCTTAACTCCGGGCAGCCACTGAGAACCTGTACCTATACTACTGTACCTGTACTACTATGCGTTCGAAATAACAATAGGACGGTCAAAGGCAACATCTTATCTTGGATTATATATATATATATATAATCATCCTTTCACGGAAAATGTTGATCCAGTGAGAAGTTAAAACAATTGTTGATCCACCTATTTGACGTGTTTGCTCAGCTCCTCGTCGCACAAACCGATATACTTTGATATATCCTTGATGCGCGTGTGACGTCGGTGGATCTGCACTAACAGGTTTTCAATATACTCGTCAGCGATTTGACCAACATTTGTTGATCTATCAACGGTCGAAAAAATCATACTAAATATAATTTTTTAGATCCAGAGTATATTTAATTTATATGCGACATTTACATAGACCAAGTGGATCCGGAGCCATAATTGACGAATAGGTACTCGAACACGAAGCGGCAACGTCGCGTTCTGTGTGTGACAGAGAACCCAGTAGGCTACTTCGTTATATTAATAATCCTCTTCGTTATAGTAGTAATAAGGTAAGAAAGAAAATGCGTTATCTACTGATTTTGTGGATCAAACTTTGGCAGGTTTTATTGTGGAAAGACGTTTGTTCGAGTTTTTGTTATCGTATGAGTGAATTTGTGTTATTTTGTTCATTTGTCATAGATCAGTTAGAAGATGATGGATAGTACTATATTACAAATTAATTTATCACTCGGGT